AATTGTCTCTTATGTGAAGTCAGTAAACAAGTGTTTCGCCATACAGGTCCTTAAACAAGGCTAGCTAGCTTGTTTTTGATGCCTTGGCGAATGTAGGACAGACGCAGTGACATGATGATCGGGTTGATGAGAGACTGGAGATGAATAAGTGTTGCACAGATAGGTGTGGCCACATACTGAAAATTGCTTGTCACATCTGTACCCCTCGTGGCTTTGATCACAGAGACTATGATGTACGGAGTGTAAAACAGGACAGATGCAATCACTAAAATAGTCATCATGAACACTCGTTTGTATTCCTTCAGTCTTTGCTCTTGTTCTTGTTCATCGTTGGGTTGTTGAACTGATGCTTTCTGTAGGGCGATGGTTCTACTCTGACGGTAMGCCGTTATCTGTACTTTTAATGAGCAGTAGAGGATAATCATGCCAAGAATGCTACCGGCTACAGCTGATGGAACTTTGTACAGATGGGGATATGTTCTGTTTAATAAAGCGCTAGCACTAATCAAACAGGCAAGGAATATTACCCAAATAATTGCCGTGGTTGAAATCACTTTCTTTGCTGTAATGTTCTTGCGATAAAAGTTCGGGTGTTCAATGGCTAAATATCGCTCAGCACTCGCGAGAGTGAAGCTAACCATTGTTGCTCCGGAACAAGCTAAAGACGACAAAATGTACACTGTGAACGTGCATTCAGGGGAAAGACACTTGTTCAAAAGACATCCAAGGAAGAGGCAATACAATGGCTCGACTAGTAATCCTACAAGGAAATCAGTTACTGCTAAAGAGGCAAGCAAAATATTAAATGCCGAAGATCGAAGATTTTCATCCATTATCACCGTCCAAATGACGAGAGCATTGACGACAATTGTCGGTGGGGCAGCAAGACCATTGATAGTAGCAAGGAAAGTCCAAGTCGGGTGGACTGAATCTGGACGGTTCATGTCATAAGGATTAAAGTCGGCAACCGACAGAAAGCAGCCATCAGGTTTGTTTTGAGAAACCACAACACTTGATGAGTTATTTGCCATTGCAAGAAAATGTTGTGATGATTTGCTCCGTACCGACAGCAATTGAGCTCTCACTGATTCCGGCKAGATTCGCGCATTTTGTTGATATATAAGGTTGTACCAAAGTGGACTGACGTAATTTTTTAATTTTCAATGCTTTACGATAAGGAATTGTGAGGTACCTTTACTCACGAATTAATGACACCAATGCACGGAACATTTTTTCTGGGCATGGAAAAAAAATCTGACTGAAAAAATATAATGATGACATTCTCATGCAATTAACAGGMTGCAGCTAAATTCGTTGAAAATCACATTTTGGTCGAAACTAAAAYACAGTTCGTTTTCGGTTTATAGATTTCATATATAAAAATCTTTTCCATTTGCATTTTAAAAGATGATATTTTTAAAATGCATTATGCRGGAGTGACATTCTGGACCTTCAATTAGCGAGCTATAGTAAATCTCCTTGTGATATAAACCTACCTTTTTAGTACTTTTACTGGAAGCAAACCACCATCTGGTCATTAGGAGAATACTTGTTGGAAATTGAAAATAAAATACTAATGTAGATACCGTTCTAAATTGAAAATTTAGGAAATTTGGATTTTATTTTCGCTGTTTTTTGTGAAATTTCAGTGACATATATAACGTAGCACGTTTACTTAATGATTTTGGAATTCACTTTAACGAAGTTTTAAAAATGGACATTAGACTTAAATTTATCATGATTTTATTACCATTTCATAGTTTGCATTACAATGAGTCCTTTTTTATCGCAGGCCAAACTAGTTATTTGAAATTTACAGTCTTAAGAAATCGCACTCGTGATGTTCTTCAAATTTTAATATCATCAGATGAATATCTAGCTTTGCTATATACAAATTATCGTGCTCAAGCAACCAAGCAAATTTGTAAATAAATATCCGTGACCATTTTAATTTTCTTGCATGACTATTATAGCCTGCTGAAAAAACATTTTAGATTTTGTGAAGTTTGAAAATTTTACTTCTTGTTTGAATAAACATTATAATYACTTCCTATAAATAAACATAATTTCCAATTGCAATAAAATAGCCTACGTTCGATCAGCGCCTTATTCAACGAATATCCTGTCAACTATAAGGTCGCCAGTACACAGCTTTTCACGAATTCAGTAAAATTATCCACTGAAAAATCAATAAAAAGTGTGGTCTTAAATGACTTTCATCGGAAGACATAAACCTTCCAGTTACTTGACAATGAAAATACAATAAAACATTGAAAAGAGTTCGAAAAGAAGAAACAATTGCAAAAGCAAATCAATTAACGTTTCACAGAAGTAACTTTCTCTATAGTKTTTTGACAGCATATTATTAATATTGTCCGAAGCATAGCAGGTGTGATCCTTTTTAAAAATCTACGAAATTATGTAATAGTTTTTTCTTTGAAGTTTGAACTATCCTACTTTTTTCTTTGATAGTTTGAACTATCCTACTGCTTTTTTTCTGAAAATCGTCGAAGGGAAGCCCTATAAACATACTCAATTCCCTGGTATTTTTTGGCCGGATTCCATCATTGCTCAAATCTGATTGGCCTTTCATTCGACTTTCATGATATTTCTATCGTKTTCTTTGAAGGAACCCGAAAGAAAACGAACATTTAACATTTCAGAAATCAAACAGATATGATCGATTATAAATTATATATGTATTTTTTAGAAAGTAAATGTTTCAGTATAAAATGAAAGTGTACGTGCGAAGAGATGTAAAATTTTCGATCCGAGTAACAAGTCGTTTCAAAAAGGTGATCCTTGAGTTTACTAAAAGACTTGAATGCAGACTGACGAACTTTTGTTTTTACAAAGAAGAAAAACTACTGATTTTCGTACTATTCAATTTCACAATACCATTCAATTAAACAATAGAATAGTCGAATCTATGGCATTAGTGCTGTGATAGTTGCCCGSGAAAAGTGGATGTTCCGAGAAACAAATAGTCGCCAGCAGAGAACGCAGTTCGAGGARCATCCATGATCCGAGGGCAACTTTCACCGCAAAATGTTTGATATGTAGACTGCTCCATTGTTTTATTATTATTTAACAACAAAAGTTTGTAAAGAGGTGGGTTCTAAGCACTGATCGACTCACGTGATCGACTCTTGAATTTATTGTCGAGTTATAATGTAATTCATGGCTTGAGAGAGAGTCGCAGGAGACAAAGGATCATCCCTTTGTTTCCCGGAGCCTCGTCGTCAATGCTTGTACTTGGATAGCGGGTTATTTAAAAAATTGAACTTACCTATAGTGAGGCTAAAAGTATATCACAGTTGACAATTTATTTACAAATTGAAAAAATTARATGAGAGAGAGTGAGAGCTGGAATAAAAACATTCTGTTGATCTAGTATCAGTTTAGAGATATAACTATAAAAGATTCTTGAATGGCGCATGCACTAACGCAGTTTTGCTTTGTTTCACAAACCTTATGATAAGTAATAGACTTCCAAACCTTTTACGTCGATCACTAATTGAATTTCAATGCATTGTGGGAAAAGAAATCCGCAATTTTCAGTCTCAATATTGTCCTACAATGTATTGCGTATACGGTACATGACGAAAAAGCTGGTAAGGTGTATTGTGAGGTCACTTTCTCACTAATCCCACCAATGCACGGAACACGGACATTTTAATTTGTCTGGGACCGGAAAAAAATAAAATAAAWAAATAAAATAATATTATTTTGCACATGTTATAAATCTTTCTTTAACACTTTCTATATCTGAAATAGYGATTTTTTCCCAGCCCTCGTCACATTCTCTCTTCTAAAATGTCGCAAAAATAAATATCGCAGATTAGAGGAGATAAATCAAAAACACCGTATCTCTCATGTGCCTTATTATGCTCTGCCAATGCACTATTTTAATAAAACAAAGTCTCAGTTTACTCTTACATTCTTATCAAAGACCGAATGTTTACATTCAGCATCATTTTATGCTAAACATAGAAACTACGATAAGATTTAGGCGAAGTAGGAAAGTTTTAAATTAAAAATGACACCCAAAATGAAGAGCCAAAACTTGTAGTTGAAGTACAGGGGTCGCTTAATAACGCTTTCAAATGAATTACACTAAAGTCAGTTTAATAAACGGCGGAATTATCGAGCTAAGAATATTCACCTATTCCTTATTTGATATTATAGGAATATTCTAGAGAATAAAATAGACTAAACTATCGCCAGCAGCAAAAGATAATTATTGCTTATAGMAAAATTTGTGAACTGATCTATGCAAAACCACAATAATTTCTATAATTTTTTCACAATAAACACCCTAGTAAATTCACCATAAAAGTTCTAGATATATGCTATATTAGTTGAACATCATTAGTCTTTCATAACTACCACTGAAAATCACCTGTCAATTTAACAGCTAGTGTTTCGAGGTCCCAGATAAATCATTTTGGGATACAGTTTCAAAGTATTTATAATTTTGGCTTGATTGAAAAATATTTAAGTAGAAATTTCATTTATTCTATTAGTATCTTAGGTTGGAAGCTTTAAGTATGCTTTTGTGCGAGTTATAGCACGCTATTTGCATGACAAAAAARGAGAGAGTGTTGATTCTATGTGGGTGTGAAGTAAGCGAATCCCCAGGCAGGTGTTTTTCTAACATTGCTTTGTTAAACCTTCGATGTGTGAAAACTACCAAAGGTAACCTCAATTTCAAAGATCAGACTTGCTTTAAAGGTAAAAAATTGTTAAATATGGCTATTAATTACYAAGGTTCATGATTTATGATATCTATTTTTCGTCGATTTCACCAAATTACACTTCGATGAATTGTTGCAAACATCAGCTACATAGTTTCAAAACCATATCTTTCAAATATTTTGTGCAAAGGTGAAACTGCGAAAAATCTTACAAAACGAACGCTTTTGTTTCTCAAAAGTTTTTCAGGAAGCAMAATAATAATACCCTATTTATATAATTTGCTATTATATAATGGTAGTTGTTTGACAGAATATARTTTCAAGATATCTTCACTGTTAATATACCTAACTCTGCTTCAAAACAAGAGAATATATTTTAGGTTTATTTTTGAAACAAAAACCGGTACAAAACTAATTAAGTGCATTTAGAGCTATTAGATAGTTTGTTCAATTCTCCCCTATGATATCCAATTTTTAACACATATTTAGCAAGACCCACATCGATCTTACAAGGCAGAAATAGTAAATGCATATAACTGTTATAACAGTCGCCTTAAAAAGTTGGTTGCTTGATGATACTATAGTCTTTGTGTCTAACATTAGTTGGTTGCTTGATGATACTATAGTCTTTGTGTCTAACATTAGTCTTCAGCGCAAATTGTTTTGAAGGATCACTTCAAATGCCGTATTTTTGATTTGAAGCAATTAGGTAAGATTGTATGGATTGAAATTATGCTATTTAAGTTCGATAGTTTTTCACCTAGTTGCAAAAAGACAGAATTAACACAGATTTTAATTTCAGATTTAATTTCAATTTTCCGTTTCTGCGCGATTTAATTGTGTACACTTTGTTTCTTATATGTCTTTATCTGAAGATCTGAGATATACATTAACTATACTGTAAGTCCCGAGAGTGTGTTTATGAAGTAGTAACATAGCTAGTGATATAAATTATTAAATGGTTATCAAAATAAAAAAAAACACAACACAACACAGCACAACACAACACAAAATAACACAACACAACACAACACAACACAACACAACACAACACAACACAACACAACACAACACAACACAACACAACACAACACAACACAACACAACACAACACGACACAACACAACACAACAC